GAAAAGCGTCTTTACCATTTTGGAATAGTAGAAATGCATGGCTATATTGAAGAATAAAGAAAGTTTTCATTTTCATTTGCTACTGCAAAAAATTGAAGTGAGACAATGATTTAATGAAGTAAAAAATACGCCGGACTTAAAGTGGGGAAGAAATGCTGGCAGAACAAGCAGTGGCGGAATGAAACTTCGCTCAGACTGTTATATAACAAGGCGGTGTTTATAGAAGAAATGTTCTGAGAATGGAGAGCCTCCGGGGGATATAATGAGTGGTTACTTGAGACTTACCACTGATAAGTTAGCTGGGCACACATAAAAATAATGGAAAGTGTGGTTTTGAGGAAAGAGCTGATGGTACCTTCGGGATACATTAATCGCCGCTCGACCGTGCATTTAGAAGGGAAGAAGCATAAAGCCTAAAGGTTATAAACGAATTGGCAGAGTGTTGGAAGAAAGCCGTAACGCCACTGCATATGTCCCCTGTGGTTCATTTCAAGCCGCTTCTGGTTTCAAATCGCACCGCAAGCCAAATGATCAAGAATTTGACGCCTCTCCTCTCTTTTGCTGCAAAGCAAACTTATTGCCTCAGCAATTATGCCAGTCGTCAATTTCCCAAGTGCACACCGAAATTTACAGAAAAATCAAAATATGCGACCGAAGTCGCATATCTGCCAAAATCAGTCACTGGTCCATACATTTGGACATGCTAGTCCGAAAAATCGGTTACAAACGAAAAATATCGCAAAACATTCGAACGGGAAACAGGTCAGATGCGCAATTTCTGCAGACTGGAAAGCAAAACTGTAATGGGTTTATCAAATAACGATTTCGAAATTGAGTGACTGACTAAAAAAAACCACTGCATATTAATTAACCCCTAACAGCGATAACAGTGAAAAGTAAATGTGTTTCTACTGACGGATTTTAGCACTTGTCTTAATAACAATTTAGTTCACTGCATCACACTAGTAGCGCATTCAAAGCACGGTTACTTCCCTCTTTAGCATTAAATGGACATCCAAACCGTCCATGTATGTGTGTGTGTGTG